CAAAACAGGGGGTCCGAAAGCACATGCGTCCATCCCCGAGGGGAGTCTATTGTCGATTTGACATGGGCTTCCCCCGGGCGGCGCAATTGGTGAGGACCTGGGGGGTGGTGACCGAGAGTCCCTATCGGACCATTCCATATAGAGATGGTTCTGACTGCCACCCCCCGGGAAGTGCTGATCCGCCGCCAACTACAAAGGGGCAATAAACCCCCTAGAAGATGGGCCCTGGCCCAATTAAACCAGGACAAGTTGATGGCGGCAGCCTTGGTGGAGGCGTGGTCGGACTTCTCCGACCTCGTCGACACCGAGACAGAAGCCGAGGAGATTGGGGCCATGGCCGAGCGCATGTGCGATATGGCCATGCCCCGATCTAGGTCCGCCCCTCGCCGGGCCAAATATTGGTGGACTGAGGAAATTGCAGATCTACGCAGGCGCGCAAACGCCAAAAGACGCGACCTCCTCAGGGCCCGACGAAAGGCGGGTGGGGATGAAGAAGAAACTGCCGATGCACGCGGAGAGTACTTGGCCGCAAAGTGCTCTTTACGGACAGCAATCGGCATATATAGTTGGCCCCCCCTCTAACGCAAATCGTAAAAACATTTATATATTCGGATTGTACATTGTTTGTACATGAATGTACTATGATTTTTATCGTTTGTACATTTTTCGTTAATTTTAAAAAAAATTACAAAGTTTTCGTAACTGTGCCAATGATAGTTAGCCCCCCCTATGTCGCAATTACATCACGTAAATTATAACTTATGAATTTATCGTGCTTAATCGTTTGTACGTCGTTTGTACGTCGTTTGTACATTATTAATAATCGGTTAAATTTATAATTCCAACATTTGTTTTTGTTTAAAACGCAAGATAAATAATTTTTATTTGAATATGGCGGGTACGGAGTACGGAGCGGGTGCGCATGCGTGTGCGTGCGTATGCGCGCCTGTGCGTGCATATGCGTGTATGTGCGTGCGTGTGTGTGCTGCATGTATCGTGTAGGTGTGTATGCGAGTGAGTGGTGGGTGTGTACGCGCGTGTGTATACACACAACACAGCATATACCCACACATACGCACACACCCACTCACACACACAGCATCACATTAGACGGCATTATATCACGGCTATGTCATCACAGCATAGCAAAAGTTAAAAGTTAAAGACTTTTAAAATATATCTAGACAAAAAACTATTAATTTTTAAGCTTTGTTCCTATTGAGACTTTCGATCAGCATCAATATTATCGAGTATAAAAAATCAGAAAAACTGTCGAAATTTCTTAAAATCTCCTAACATTGAAGAAATTGTATATAATAATATTAATAATCAAATCAGTGATCAAAAATTAAGTGAAGAGAAAGAAAATGTAAAGAAAGATGTAGTTATTATTACAAATCTGAACCAGATATTCGTCATCGTAACAATCGTATTAAAGATAATTAAAAAAATTAACGCTTTTAAAAAATGGTTATAACGTCAATCAACCGATTTTAATTGATAAACAACCTTATTTTGCAAGAAATACTTGTCCATTCGATTCTATAATACAAATATTATCCACAGCGGTTATGGATAAATCACAATATTTTACATCAATAGAATCAAATGCCAACAAAACAATGTAATTTATTCTTAATTTTATTAAAAGGGGATCATGTGCGCGAATATTTACCGATTGTTTAGTACGTGTACCAAGTACTAAATCAGCTTCTTTGATTGGTGTAGATTTTACACTAAACGATTATACCTATCGGAGAAGCAGATTTAGTATTTGGTACGCGTACTAAACAATCGGTGTAAACTAAGCCATAGATGACTACATATATGACTACTGTGAACCTTAAAAGAGTGGAGATGAACAAAACATTGTGAAAAAAACATAGAGCAGCATTGACAAGAGATGTCTACATTTGTCGCAACGACAAAGATTTTGATTGGCTAGCGATAATTATTTGTTTCGTAAAGCACGAACTAAAAACATTGTGAAGAAATCTATCTTTTCAAAATTGATTCAAATAATTTTTAATCATAATTAAAAGATTTCTATAAAAGGACCCCGCACAAAACATTATGAAAAGTGGTTAAATTCGCCGAAATTGCAGTATCATTTATTGATGCTGATCGAAAGTCTCAATGGAAACAAAGCTTAAAAATTAATAGTTTTTTGTCTAGAGATATTTTAAAAGTCTTTAACTTTTAACTTTTGCTATGCTGTGATGACATAGCCGTGATATAATGCCGTCTAATGTGATGCTGTGTGTGT